TGTCGAGGCTGCGGTGGCTGGGAGCGGCCACTGCACTCCAGTCTGGGCGACAGAGTGAAACTCCAACTCAATAAATAAATAAATAAATAAACCTGTTGGGTTTAGGCGATCCTTCCACCTCAGCCTCACAAGTAACTGGAATCACAGGTGTGCACCACCCCACCTGGCTAAGTTTTTTATTTATTGTAGAGACGAAGTCTCACTAAGTCGCTAGTCTTGAACCTCTGGCCTCAGGCAATCCTCCTGCTTCCACCTCCCAACGTGCTGGGAGCCACTGTGCCTGGCTGACAGTGTCTTTCTTTAAGTTATCAAAATAATAGCTGGACACAGTGGCTCATGCCTGTAATCCCAGCTCTTTGGGAGGCTGAGATGGGAAGATTACTCGAGCCCAGGTGTTCAAGACCAGCCTAGGCAACATAGCAAGACCTTGTCTCTAAAAAATAAAATAATGTATGCTGGCCGGGTCCAGTGTTTGATGTCTGTAATCCCAACACTTTGGGAGGCAGAGGCAGGTGGACTGCCTGAGCCCACAGGTTTGAGACCATCTTGGGCAACATGGTGAGACCTTGTCTCTACAATAAGTCAAAAAATTAGCCAGCGTGGTGACACACGCCTGTAGTTCTAGCTACTTGGAAGGCTGAGGCAAAAGGATTGCCTGAGGCCAGCAGGTCGAGGCTGTTATGGCCATGATCATGTCACTGCACTCCAGCCTGGGTGACAGAGTGAGACTCCAACTCAAGAAAAAAAAAAAAGGAAAAAGAAAAAGAAAAAAAAAATAGCTAGGTGTAGTGGCACAAGCCTGTAGTCTTAGCTACTCAGGAGGCTGAGGTAGAAGGATCACCTGAGTCCAAGAGGTCAAGGCTACAGTGAGCCGTGATTGTGCCACTGCACTCCAGCCTGGGTGGCAGAGTGAGCCTTTAACTAAACAAACAAACAAAAATTGGGCATGGTAGTTTATGCCTGTAATCCCAGCGCTTTGGGAGGCCAAGGAAGGAGGATTGCTTGAGTCCAGGAGTTCAAGAGCAGCCTGGGCTACATAGTGAGACTTGGTCTCTACAAAAAAATTTAAAAATTAGCTGGGCTTGGTGGTGACAGAGTAAGACTCGGACTTAAAAAAAAAAAAAAGAAAGAAAATGGATTAATGTCTAGTTCATGATGGGTGGCTCAAATAAAAACAAAACAAAAACCCACACAAGTAATGTATGCACATGATATAAAATGAGAAGCAAATGCCTGTCTCCTCTCACTCCATAGGGTTACTCCACAAACATCCTTCCAGAAGGTTTTTGTGGATCCACCAACATATGTGTGTCGGGTCTATTTAAATTTCGGTAAATGGGATTATACTAAACATGCACTTGCTTTTTTCCCTCTGAATGTTTTTGGGAGATAATTCTACAGCAGCACCTTGAGCGTGGGCTCCTTGCTTTCCGCAGCCGCGTGATGTTGCCACAAATGGCACCCCTGGTCTCCTTTTATCCTCCCCCAGCCTGACAGGAGCGTGTTGTTGGGGCCAAGTCTCTGATCAGCATCTCTGCACCTACACGGCTGGGCAGCATGCCATGTTTTTAGAGGTCAAATCCCTGACACCAGCTCAGACACCACCATGAACCCTTCTTCTCCTGAGGGCTCTTACGGGGCTTCCCGTGGAGCTGCAGGGGTGAGGACACAGCTTGGGTGTTTGTAGTGGTGCTTGTTAGAGCCTAAAGTCAGATTGTGGTCAGGTGCGGTGGTCCACGCCTGCAATCCCAGCACTTTGGGAGGCCGAGGCAGGAGGATTGCTCGAGCCCAGGAGTTCAAGACCAGCCTGGGCAGCATAACAAGACCTCGTCTCTACAAAAAAAAAAATTAGCTGGGCCTGGTGGTACACACCTGTAGTCCCAGCTACTCGGGAGGCTGAGGTAGAAGGATCGCCCAAGCCTAGGAGTTTGAGGCGGTGATGAGCCATGATCATGCTACTGCACTCTAGCCTGGGTGATAGAGTAAGACCCGACTCAAAAATACACATAAAAGTCAGACTGTGACTGGGTTCAAACCCCAGCTGCTTCACCTGCATCTCCCTCTGCTCCAGTGTTCCCGTCCCTAAAATGGGGATGATGCTAGTGGTAACCACTGCATGGAACTGCAGAACGGAGTTACTGAGATAGCGGAAAGCACTCTGGCATGGCTATCTACTCTGACCCTTCCTGTGAGAGTCTTTCGTTCTCTCCTCTCCCCTTTAGAGGGCCAGCAGTTCGTGGGCAGGCCCCTGGTTTTGTTCCTCACTTTGAAGAGCCCTGAAAAGTGCCGGGTGTACGATAAATTGTCCCTGCATTTGTTATCGGGGAGAAACCTCCCAGCTTTGACCCACTCCCTCTTCCTCCCTGCCTATGCCCTCCACATGGCCCCAGGGCTGGGGAGGAGAGAGATGTGACTGGATAATCCCTGGCACTCAGGTCAGTGATAAACGCCAGGGTGCTTGGGCCAGGGACAGAGTGGTTCAGGTGCTCCCTTTGGACTGCAGACTTGGCTGGCACTGAGACCAGCACCATTGCCTGGACCCATTGCCCCTAGGTCCCGGTCTGTTTGCCCCTCGTCTGAGTGTCTCTTCACTCTGTTCCCTTTGCTGGGGCTCCCTGAGGAGGAAGGGCAGGATGAGAAACCCTGAGGCTGAAAATGGGGCATCTAGACCTTGGAGTTCAGTCCCATCTCCAGTCGAGGTTTTGTTTGTCTGGTCCAGAGGGGGAGGCCATGCCAGGCCCCTGGAGTCCTGGGAAGGGAGAAGACCGGGACCTAGGGGGTGGCTGTGGCCCTCCCCTCCCACCTCCTGACGGCTCCCACCCACCCACATCTTAGCAGGAAGTGCCTCGCACCCACGCCCATGGGCCGAAGCTGGGTCAGTCCTGTCAATGCCCCTAGGTGGGGGGGAAAGGGGGGAGTTGCAAATTTGCAGACGGGACCCTGCAGGGTGGGCACCTGGGGGTGAAGGAGGGAGCAATGCCCATCCCTACTCCAGGGGTGCAGCAGAGCCACGGCAGAGGCTTCAGGGACCAGGAGGGAGAGGAGTCAAAGCCCAGCTTCTCTGAACTGAGTGAGACTAGAGACAGGAGTGGGAGACAAAAGCCTTCACTTCAAATTAAGGAGATGTTACTAACAACAATACTAATAGTAGGTTGGGTGTGGTGGCTCACGCCTGTAATCCCAGCACTTTGGGAGACAGAGGTGGGAGAATTGCTTGAGTTCAGCAGTTCAGACTAGCCTGGGCAATATGGTTAGATCCCATCTCTACCCCCCCCAAAAGTAGCCAGGTGTGGTGGCCCACACCTGTAGTCCCAGCTACTTGGGAGACTGAGGCAGGAGGATTACTTGAGCCCAGGGGGTTGAGGCTGCAGCGAGCCAGGATCATCGTACCTCTCCACTCCAGTCTGGGCAACCAGTGAGACCCTGTCTCAAAAAATAATAATAACAATCGTAACATAACAGCAGCTGTTGATGGTTATGGGTGCTCTAAGGGCTTCTTCACAGTCTGTTCTCACTTATAAGTGAGAGCTAAACAATGTGTACACAGGGACAGAGTGTGGAATAATAGACGGAGACGCAGAAGGGTGTTGGGAAGGGAGGAGGTGGATGACGAGGAATTACTTACTGGGTACAGTGTAAATTATTCAAGTGACGGATACTCTGAAAACCCTGACTTCACCACTGTGTGGTGAATAGATCCATGCAACCAAATTACACTTGTACCCCATAAATTTGTGCCATTTTTTAAAGCCAGTAAGGTAGGGCCTACTTTATAGAGGGGAAAGCCAAGGGACTTGTTCAAGGCCGCACAGGTAGTAAGTGGCCCTTCAGGTCCTAGCTCCAGACACTCCCACCGCCTGATGACCGCCCCATTAGCTAACCTGGTTTTCAGCTGTTGTCATTGCATTCTTACCATCAACCGTGTTGAGAAGGACTGACACACAGTTGCCATTTGGCAAACTGAGACTAGGCCAAAGGGCCCAGGGCCTGGGCTGAGGCCAATCATTGCCCTGTATGGCCGAACCTAGATCTTTTGCGCCTTCCTCTGTATCCCTGGCAGGCACCTGTGTGAGCCGAGGTTCTGGCCCTTGGGAAGGTTCTGTGCTGTTCCGCCAGAGGCATTGTGGGTTTTACTGGGGCTGCCCTCAAAGAGAGTCCCATGAATCCTCTGGCACCCAACGCTGGCTATTCCTAGTGCAAACTCTCTGCACACTTTTGTCATCGTGGCTGCCTGCTCGGGGCTTGGTGAGGGGCTGGGGGGCTGGGAGAGGGTTGAAGTGAACAAGACCCAGCCTCAGTCCAGGAAGCAGCCTCAGGCCCAAGGCGATGTGGAGCGGGCGTGTTCGGGGTGTTCGCGGTAATGTACAGCAGCGCGGCAGTGGTCGAGACAATCAGAGAAGGCTTCCCAGAGGCGGCAGCTGCTGCAGGATGTGGAGAGGTCGAGATGCTCCGAATGTATTTCAAAGAGAGGGTGAGGGAAAGACTCGTGGACGAAAAGTTTCGAGGGAGCAACCCCATCCGGTCTGGGGATGAGGGCGCTAGGGGGAGGGCAATGGGAGATTGGGTGGTTTTTCTTGAGGGGGAGAGGTGACACGATGACGGCAATTCAGACCTAGATTATGCGCTTTCTCCGGGCAAGAGAGAGGAAACCAGGAGGGCGAGGGCGGCGCTCGAAAGACGTCAGCTCTGGCGGAAAACCGGGCTTTACCCCGGCAAGGCTCCCGCCTGGCGGTAGGCGGAGCCGTGAGCCCCGGGAGGCCGCAGAGACAAACGCTGTGCCCGGCCCCGCCCCC